TGATGGATAATTCTTCATACACATGGCAAAACGGCAAGTACCGATAATTTCCACTGATGATGTGTACGAACGCGATGGGAATTTTATCCTCACTTAGACGTTGCCGTGCTTCTTTGCGTACATACTCTGGTAGAAGGTTTTGGCATGGATAGACAGTTTGAGTATTTGGTGGGGGACATACATTCATTCTTGCACGGCAGAATTCAAGAATCCGAATGAAACATACAAATATATGCGTAGTCCCACTGTCCAATTATATGAGGATACAAAATTGAAATTTCGTGGATCATACAGGGCAAAAACTTCAGAGCTTCGATGGGTTTCGAACGATGGATTTCTGTTGGGAGATCGACGATTTCGGAGGACAACCTCATTTTGGGTGGGTGGATTAGTTCGATTTGGATAGATGGCTTGTAGAAGGGCGATCCCTCTTCTGCCGTACGTGGGCCAGCGTCCTCCCTTCACTAAATAACAATTGACTCCTCCTGTCAAACTTCCTACTTCCCACATGATAACCCTGCCAGGTCGTACTGGGCCCCCCACGCTTCGAATATTTCCATGCATCGGCTACCCACTATGACAATCACCCAGAATGAATGGGCTGCTCATTGTGAGCCTACAGTTGGCAGCAGCTTTTGCCCTAGATGGGCCGTCCAAGGCCATGCCTATGGGAAACATTCCCTAAATGCTCACCATGTGGGCTCCCAACGGTGGGCTGCCGACACTTCACAGCAATTCCTCCTGTTATGGGCGGCCGATGGGCGACCAAATTGTCGTCCCCAACATGCTTTCCCCGGGCTGGCCGCTATTGATGATCTGCATTTGGCGGGCTGCCCGTGGGCTTCCGTCTACCCCATCTGATCGGAAATGCAAGCTTGGATTATATATATCAACGGTTTGCAGTTTAGGTTAGGGTTAGGGTTAGTGCACAGGTGGATGTCCACCCCCTTCCCCAAAATTTTGGATGCCCTCGCCCCCTTATGGTGACCTTGACAAGGTCTAACACCTTGAAGAAGACAACCAAGGCCTCGAAAGGGAGAAATCGCGGTATTTTTGAGGCCTTGGTTGTCTGCTCCAAGGTGTTCAACCTTGACAAGGTCTCCACAAGGGGGCGAGGGCATCCAAAATTTGGGGGAAGGGGGGTCGACCTCCACCTGTGTGACTGGATGTTCTTTTTCTTCAGAATTTGATTTTGCATTATGCTCGGGTGGGATATAGGCGATGCTTCAGGAAAAAAGAAACGTGAATGGCCATGATTTATCCCCTCCCTGCTGAAATTTGCTCCGGCAGCAATCTCAAGCGAACATTGTAAGTAAAGAACTGAGTGTGTCGATTTTTTTCTCGCACGCCCCCCCCCCAATTTTTTTTTCAGATATATTTTTTCTTTGTTGTCATGAGTACTTCAGCTATCGGTTGAATAGCAATCAACGCGGAGAGCAGCAAGCCCGTCCTGGGCGTTACTTTGGGGCACTGGGTAGTGGGCCGTGTTAGGCCGAGAGAGAGAGGTCGAGAGAGAGTTGGAGAGCGAGTGGGAGAAGGAAACTTGATTGGAGAGAGACGGTGGTGGTGGTGGAGAGAGACGGTGGTGGTGGTGGAGAGAGACGGTGGTGGTGGTGGAGAGAGACGGTGGTGGTGGTGGAGAGAGACGGTGGTGGTGGTGGAGAGAGACGGTGGTGGTGGTGGAGAGAGACGGTGGTGGTGGTGGAGAGAGACGGTGGTGGTGGTGGAGAGAGACGGTGGTGGTGGTGGAGAGAGACGGTGGTGGTGGTGGAGAGAGACGGTGGTGGTGGTGGAGAGAGACGGTGGTGGTGGTGGAGAGAGACGGTGGTGGTGGTGGAGAGAGACGGTGGTGGTGGTGGAGAGAGACGGTGGTGGTGGTGGAGAGAGACGGTGGTGGTGGTGGAGAGAGACGGTGGTGGTGGTGGAGAGAGACGGTGGTGGTGGTGGAGAGAGACGGTGGTGGTGGTGGAGAGAGACGGTGGTGGTGGTGGAGAGAGACGGTGGTGGTGGTGGAGAGAGACGGTGGTGGTGGTGGAGAGAGACGGTGGTGGTGGTGGAGAGAGACGGTGGTGGTGGTGGAGAGAGACGGTGGTGGTGGTGGTGGAGAGAGGGAAGGAAAAAGTGCGCAGCACGCACGCAAGCCTCATCGCACCAACTACGCCAAAAGGGTCCCCATGACTGCACCGGTTGTACCCTACAACGCCCGAAGTTCCCAACACGTATCCCCCAGGGATCTCACGACCAGATACTGTTGCGAGTATATCTAACATTGGTAGAGCGCCATTCTCAATTGTTGTACTTTATCGTTGGTGTTAACCGGAAGAAAAGCGTCAGGATGGCAAAAATGAGACGCTACGAGAGGCAAAAACGAATGGAAGAAATACTTTTTGGAAAAAGCAATCATGTTTTCGGGGCGACAAAAGGTGTTGTATTTGGGGGTCGAACCCATGCTTCTTGTATTCACGACCTAGCGAGGAGTTTCGCCGAATGTCGTGACCAGTGTCGTATTTTTAGATCGTTAATACAGCCTCACAGAACTTGCATTTCCATCAGAGGGAGTATGTCGGTAGCCCATGACGGATGGGCTGTGTCCATCAGTTGCCCACGATGGACTGCCCACCACAAAGGCTGCCCCACAAAGGCTGCTCGTGGGATCCCCACCATTTCCTGCCCTGCCCATGAGCTGCCAAAGATTATCTGCCCATTGTGGGCTACCCATGATCTACCCAGGATAGGCTGGCCACAAACCACCCATGGTGGGCTGCCGATGAGCTGCCCACGCTAGGCTGGCATCATCCGCCCATCGTGGGCTGCCCGTGAGCTGCCCTCGATGGGTTTCCCATGATCGGCAGTCCACCGTGGCCATGGGCCGCCCGTCATGGGCATTTTGGGTGTGCCTGTGAGTATGAGCATGGGCATGCCCATGGGCATGCCCACGGACAGCCCATAGACTATGGGTCACCCATGGGCAGTAACCGCCCCATGGGGCGTTTGGGAAAACTGTAGAAAGTGCGGGAGACCCAACCCGAAAGCCTCAATCCTGACGAACGCAAAAGGCTATAAAGTGGACTCGAAAGGCCCCTGGAATTCTACGCCCATGATTCTGGGCACGTGATGGTCGAATCGGGTGCAGGCCCGTACTTGAGATCACTTACGGCGTGAACAGTGCCGCCTGACTTCAAAATACAACAGTGATCAACAGCTTCTCGGCTGCCCTTGCGTTGCCTCAAACTTTCAACTTGTGAATATCCGAGAGCGAAGAGGGAGGGCGCCGGGGATTCGTCATTGCCCAGCAACCTTGGATGAGTTGATCCGGGCCACAGAACTGAATTGAATTCGGGAAAATGAAAAAGTTTAAACTCTTCGCGATGTAGAGTACGCCAGTAGGGTCCGTCTCCTTCGCCTAGAATGGCCAGAGGAATGTATGTTGGTTGCTTCGCCAGCCGTCTTTTCATGCAGTACCCTGTCGACAAGGGAGAGGGAATGTTGACATAATCCGCAGTCTCTGTCGACGCCAAAAGCAACATTTGTGCCGTCGAAAATTTTCCCATCGTCTGACTGACTGATTTCAAGGGGCAGCGCTCCAAAAACGCCGGTACACTCAGACCATAAAACTAAATTTCTTCAGCAACTTTTTCCACCTGGAAACTCTTCGTCCTCGTGCAAGAGCCCGCCGGCACAACTCTCTCACGTAGTTTTATTGTCACGAGCAGCGTAAGCCGTGTAGCAACGCACGACGTGCGAATAGGCTGCGCTCTGAGTTGCGCTTGTGACCGACTGTAAGATCGCATCAGGTGCTTTATACGTACATCGGACGCCACTTCATCGGGCTATCTCTTGTCATACGCACGAGCTGCAGACAGAGATTTGAAGCTTTATCGTTCCACACACTTGACAAGCCCGTGCCAAACGTCATCTAGGTACGCGGTTTTCGTCAGCTTCAAGCCTCACACCACACACCTCCATCCCCGAGAAAATAGTAGACCTTCCCTGAATTCGCAAGGAATGCTAGCACCGTGATACTACCTGTATCGGTGGTGATGTCAAGAACCGAAATCATTACAACCACAGTGCCTCTAGGAACTAACGGTGAACACGTGTAGCAAATCACATTAGCGGAACTCCAAAAACTCCTGGCCTGGCCACAGCGGATTCGTCGACAGGTTCCGCGCTTGTTTCAGGAATAATTTTGTCAGTCACGTACCAACTCAACAACCGCTGTGGCCCCGGGTGTATTTTTTCGGGTGCTCTGCATCCCTCGGACCGTACGGTGCGGTGGTTGTGGGCAATGCACATGCACACCGCCCCACAAACGGCCATGAGCTGATGTTGAAGTTTATTCATCCGTAACGCGGGCAGGAGGACGACAAGTGTTTCGACTTCGCAAGTTAGTGCGTGCGACCACAGCAGTGGCATTGTTTTCTCTCTCCTTGGGCGAACGATAGCGGGGTTGCTGTTGTTACTTCGTCGTGAGAAACGATGATCGGAAAACGGCTGCCGTGGCCTTGCTGGGGACCAGATCTGCACAGCTACCGAGAGATTTAAAACTGCACAAATAGCCCTTTGCAAGATGGATGTCATGCTCGAACGAAACAACTAACTGTGATTTGTGTCTTCCTCTTGGGCACTTAGAGTGAACGGGGGGGTGCACAAGGACGTTCGAATCATGCCTGTCAAAACAATGGTGATTCTAGGGATTCCACCAAAAAAACGCACGAAAAACACGTGTTTTGGAAAAACGCGTTTCAGAAAGTGACGGTTAAAAAATCGTGTTTCGCTGCCTCCCCTCTAGCGCCGGTTGGAACCCACCCCCGTGCTCTTGATATTTTGTTGGACATCAGTACCCCCTCTTTGTTTTTAAATTTCGACAAAACACGGAACACGCGGCGGCTTGATTTGGCGTGATGTTGGCACGCGCGTTGACGTCCTGAAGCAAATGGCGCGCCTACAGCGTGGAAAGATTCGGCCTGAGAGTCATGGCCAAATCATGCAGATGATTACGGCTGCTCTGCTGTGTGCGGTGGCTGGAGAAAGGGAGGGGCGTTTCCTCGTCCTGGCGGTAGTGGCAATGCGGCAACGCCAATGCGTTCCCAACTCAAACCACGCTCCCAACTCGAACCACGCCGCCGGGTGAACTGTGCTAACCCTGACTTCTAAGCACTTGACCGCTGGTGTGACTGATGACTCGCTACCTCCCTCAAGGGGCGGGAATGCACACCAAGTCTGCCGTAGGAGCGGCGGCTACCGCGGTCAATAGTGCGGGTGAAAAGCTGTCCCAACCACGCCCACCACAACACAAATGTGCACAAGGACGATTCTTTCATTCTGTCATGGTCGCACAAAGCTGTGGTGATGTTGTGGCTGCCTCTTGACTGTGGGTAGCGCTTTTCGAGGGTTGTCGTAAAACTGCTTGCCTACCCCGCTGGCTTAAAGGATGATATGGTCGCGTTTGGGCACACGTGTCTCCACAACCAGGCCAGTTCGGGCCTTATCGTTTTTGCTGAGGCAGCTGTGGACTTCAGAGACACAGCGGTGGTGTTTCTCGGCCTATCTGGGTGGGATCAGGGTTGTATCGTAGACTAGAACCGTCGACGCCGGCATCGCAGTTAGTGCAGCTGATGCAAGAAAAATTACTAACTCGTTGTCGTCACCCACCTCGGTCAGGCACAGGGTCACGCAAATGTTGATCGATGGTACCATGTCTCCAACGGCAGCCGCCTGCGATATCAAGGGGGCACGGTTGTGTAATGGACCGGCGATGAGTAGTCCACACATCTGAGAACGGCCCAGCTCTGCGGACGTGGTTTGGTGAGATGGAGATATGAGGGGGGTTGCGCATCGGATAAATATGCATGATGTGGGCGGCGCAGGTGATAATAGAACCGAAAGAGTCTCTGCGCGCTTCGGTCCCCCAGTCTATCAAACTCGTACGGAGCAGGCTTGGTCTGCGTGCAGATAACACCGAGAAGAATCCCGCACCTTGTCTGTATCAGGCCGACTGCTGAGTAACGCGAGGACCACCACGACCGTCGTGATCACGTACGCACAGGCGATGCCGATAGTGCACACTATGTTCCGGATCACCACCCGGCGGTACACCGCGCCGCCGGATTGAGTGTTGCCTGATAGTGCACACTATGTTCCGGATCACCACCCGGCGGTACACCGCGCCGCCGGATTGAGTGTTGCCTTGCGACACAAGCATTGGCTTTATGAACATCGCCAGGAGTAGCACGTACTGGAAGGGAATTTGTGATGACACAGTAGGGCCGAAGGTATGAAAGGGGGAATGTGGAGTAAGGGTGTCGAGTACAAGCAACATGGTCCAGGTGCTGTCGTGCGAGCATCCATACCTCGGTGTCGCGCTTTGTCCCCCCGAGATGTAGGGTGCACCGCCAATGCTGGCGGCACGGGTGGTAAGAAAAAGCGTTGAACACGAGAACGATGCGCCTGCCAATCCGTACATAGCTCGCGAGCATATCGTCTCTTTCTTGCCCCCTCCAAAGTACCGTAGATGTGGAGATTGTACGCGAATGGCAAACCTAACGTGGGGCATGGATACCTCTGACCTCACAAAAGGAATCAAAACAATAACAGGCTCGAGGGAAAACCAGGCCAACCGGATCAAAAACCCTCGTCTAACACCGTAAATATAGAAAACCGTCGCTATTACGGAGGATTCCGACGGCCGCACTTCCAAGACAAGACCAAGGCAGGACAGATTGAACCGGTCACGCTGATTACACACCCGAAGCAACGCTCTCGGCGTTTCTAGGCTCCAGCCGCGGGTGACGCGCCGGCACAACGCTTTCTGCGTGACGTACCATGGTCATATATGCCAAGTGCTAAAACCACCACATAAACCAAACAGAACAAGAGAACACTACATCGGTAGGTTCATCAGAGCCTTCCGGTGGTACTCTAACTTCTCTCTGCCAAGGACCTTGGTCAGCATGTCGGCGTGCTGCTCTCCAGTCGGAACATACTCTGCAGTGATCTTGCCCGACTTGAATAGCTCGAGAATGAAATGGAACCGCACGTCGATGTGCTTGCTCCTCGCTGAGCTGAACGGGTTCTCGATTAAGGCGAGAGCCCCCTTGTTGTCCTCAAGGACCTTGATCTTCGCCCCACTCGTCTCGGGCGCTATGAACGACAGAACGCCACGCACAAACAACGCCTCCTTCACGCCCTCCCCGGCTGGCATATACTCTGCTTCCGAGGTCGACTGAGCCGTCACTGGCTGCGTCTTGGTGGATGCACACACTACGGTACCACCTACGGTCACAGCTAGCCCGGTCGTAGAACGCCTGTCTACTTCGTTGTCAGCGTAGCTGGCATCGACAAACACGCATAGGTCTAGTCCTGACCCCCGTACGTAGGTGATGCCGAAGTCCTTCGTGAAGTTCAGGTAGGACATGATCCGCACAAGCGCGTTCCATATCCTCCCGGTGGGTGAGTGGGCGATCTTCTGGAGCTTGTTCAGAGGCAGGGCGATGTCTGGCCTCGTCAGCTTCGTCCACATCAGGCATCCGATCGCCTCCCTCACAGGCTTATCCACCGCGGGCTCGTCATCTCTCTTCGGCCCTAGGTCGGCATCGGTGGCAGCAGGGGTGAAAGCGGTCGTGGTCACATCAAACCGCTTCAGCATACCCTCAATGTATGCTGTCTGGGACAGCTTGGTGATGCCATTTTCTACATCCATGGCGATAGCACACCCGTCGTACCAGGTACACTCCCCCAGATCTTTCACCGGAAACTTCTTGTTGAGGGAAGCGAACAACTCCTCTCGCTCTCCCTCGTCTGCCGCCACTAAGATGTCATCAACGTACATCACGATGAGACCTACGACCTCTCCATCCACCACCTTCCGGAAGACACACGGGTCAACCCTGCACTGCTCGTATCCATTCTCGATGAGGGCATCGGCAGCTTCAAACCCCCACTCACGGCCACTCTGCTTTAGGCCATACAGGGCACGCTCAACCTTGACCACCTTGCCGGACATGCTACCACAGCCTTCCGGGAACCTGAGGTATATTTCTTCTTTTAGCTTAGCGTGGATGTACGCTTGCTTCACATCCCAGTGAGCGAGTTTCTTGCCCTTTTCAGTGGCTACGGCAATCACCGTCTTGATAGACGCTGCAGACGGGCACGCTGAGGATGAGTGGTGGAAGTCGATGCCGGGGATTTGAGAGAAACCCCGCGCAACCATACGGGCCTTGAAGTCGACTATCAGGCCCTTCTCATTCGTCTTCCAAGAGAACACCCACTTTGAACCTATGGCCTTCCGCCCCTCGGGCAGCTCCTTGACCTTGGTAAAGGTTCCAGTCTTGTCGTGGCCATCTATCTCTTTCTTCATGGCCGCCTCCCAGAAAACCTTGTACTTGGAACACATCACATCCTTGTACGTCATCGGTACTGCTTCCACATCACTCGGCTTCTGCCCGATTGGCGAGGTTATACTTAGCTGTGGGTCTGGGAGTGGTTGCGAAGACCCGCTGGCGTCGACCTCGGCCCCGAACGCCTGCTGTTCCGGGCCCAACACCTCCTGCATCTCGCGCCTGTACATCTCCTCCATACAGCGTGTCTGCTCCTCGTCCCACTGCTCCTTCACAAGCGAGTTGCAGATGTAGTCCTCAACAATCCCCGTCCCGCCAGTTTCCAGGATGGTCGCCAGCAATGCCTCTTCCGGGTCCGGTGTTTCTCCGGGCCCCGGCATCTCCCCGGCACCTTGCATCTCCCGGGTCTGCTTCCGCGTGCGGCCACTCTCAAGCCCATGGCGCAGCGGGCCAGCGTTCGAGGCGCCCCAGAGGAGTTTCTTCCCTTCTAGCCCGCGGGGGTAGCGGTCGTCGGCTGGATCATACTTCAACTCCTCGAGGTTCTCGGAGTCGCCGGGATCACCATCGCTACCGCCGTCCCCACCTGGGTCGCCGGACTCTTCGCCGCCCGGGCCGCCGGCACTGCCGGCGTCACTGCTGCTGCGCTCGGGCTGCTGCTGCTGCTGCTGCTGCTGTCGGTGGGGCTGTCACTGCCTCCGCCGAAGTCGCCCCTTCCCGAAGGGGGCGACGGGGGAACGCTGCCTCCGTCCCCCGGAATTCCGTTGCCGGGTGCCGTCGGCGCCTCCTCGCGCACAAACGGCGTCGCTTGCCCTGACCCACGAGCCTCCATCACGTCGAGGTCGGACTCTGAGTCTCTCTCCCCCCCCCAACCTTGGCGTGATGCATCCGCCCTGCTCTCGCCCTCCCCGCCCTCCTCGTCATCTGCGAGAGGTAGCAGCTGCGGGGGAGCGGGCGATGCAGCGGGCACGTGGCACCAGTCGAAATTGCAGGTGGTGATTACGGTTCCATCCGTCAGCTGCACTCCCTGCTGCTCCGCCGTGATCCTGAGCAATGTCTCGTGGGCATGGCCGTGCGCGAAGTGGGACTCGTTGAGGTCAGTGGGGGTGGCTGCTTTCCGATCGCCAGGAACAATGAGTGCGACACAAGCGGTGTGTAGCGTGGGCTTTATTTGAGAGCCTCGTTGGGTCAGCAGCTTTCCAGTCCGGGGGAACCACACCTCCCCCTCGGCTTTCGTGGTCAGGGTGAGCCCCCACTTCATCCCCGAATACGTGTGGCCCTCCTCCGCCAACGAAGACAGCGAGAGGAGGTTGTAGGGGGCCTCTGGTACATGGACAGCATTCAGTACTGGTACGGGTACTCCACCATCTTCCGTCTGTAGGACTAAGGTCACATCTCCGTATCCTAGAAGAGGAACGGGGGCCTTGTGCCTCCGATCCCCTTCACCCAACCGCTACGCTCACGGTAGTTCACGAAGTTGTCTGGACATCGGAACGTGGAGCACGTGGCCGCTGTGTCGGCCACGTACACCGCCTGGCCTTGTTCCACAACCCCCACTAGACCTACTTCACCAACGGTACCACACTCGCCTGGGGGGACTGCCACGGCACAAAACGCCTGGTCTTCCACGGAGTCCACGTCGCTCTCATGCTCCACGACTTGCGCTAGGGCGGCCTCCTCCGTCGCGCACTTTTCTTTGGTGTGGCCCCACCCCTCGCAGCGCGCACACCACGGCACGCA